CTTTTTCATGATCAGGTGCATGGACACCTTCGGGGTATGTTGGATGACAATCACTCGCATTATTATTATTGCAGTCAATACTCAAGCGGTAGTCTGACTTGCACAGGCCACCTTGAGGGGGCTAGGTAGTCTAGAGAATAATCCACAAGCGCACCTGCCGCTTTTAAAATCTGGCGAGGAAAAAGAAGAGCTGAGGCTATGCTTGTTTAGGAAAAGCTGTTCACAGGTTAGGTTTAGTCTCAGAGGTGGACAAGTGATAACTGATAACCCCATTATCACAAGAGCACAATCTGGATCCATGGATCATGTTCCGGTCTTCTTCGGAGGTGTCATGGGGGGAGAGTCAACTTGATAGATAATTCTGGTGATAGTCAAGAAGTTCAACAAGGGATAGGGACCTTGTTCCTCTGTGAAGTACAGAAATATCAAAAAGGTGATAAAGCTCTAGTAACATGGTGTTGTCCGGGAAGAAAATCATCGGCCGGGGGGTTAAAGTATTCAGGTTTGCCACTCATCGACGTCCCCCGAGAAGACGCCGATTGGGGAAGCATTGGATCAACCTTTCGGTATAAGGGAAGGCTGGGAAGTTTACAGAGAAAAACAGGACGTTATTTGGTATATCATTATGTATGTCCCATGGGTCAGGCCAAAAGTAGACTCTTCATCTGGGTCTGCTTTGCTGTCGTTTCATTTAGTCTACCAGCAGCCTTTGATAAAATTGGCACCCTTTATTACGATAAACCCATTCTGATCCTAATTCTGGATTCGTCTGACAATTCTCGTCCTCGCGGCTAGAGCTTAATTAGCGGAGAATATCCCTGATCTCTTGACGGTTGACCAGTTTCTTTTCTTTTTTTCCTTTCATCATTTGTCTCTGCCCTTGGTGCAGATGATTATTCAGTTACTCCATAATAAATTGGGACTATCGATGTTACTCTGTGGATACCTAACGTGCAGAAAGGTGTCTGTCTTCAGTTCTAGAATCACAAAACCAGGTACGTAGGAATAAAATGGCTTGCAGGTTACCTCCCTGGTATGAACCTATCCGAGTACTTCTTACTGCTTCGTACTTTTTGTTTCGCTTATATCCGACAAATAATAATGCAGTAGTACCCTGTACTGGTTGGCCTAGTGAGTGAGATACTTGCCTTAGCTTCTGCTCTTGTTCATCCTCTTGGGTATTTTAATATACTTGACCCTCTCGTGTAGTAATACTGAGAATAATAATATTTTGTTATTATTTCCGCGTATTATTTTTCTCTTCTTTTTATTTTTTCTTTTTTTTCTTGAATATTACCAAAGTCATCTTGATTGTATCATTTGACTTTGGAGAAATCCCGAGCAACTGAGCAGAACTATTATACTAGTAGTACTCCGCTACCCGTAGTAAACTCGGCTCCATCTCTTTTTCGTAGCTTTTACCCGGTCGCTTTTTCCCTCTTTTTCTTACGAGATACGGACACTTTAGTAGTACTTGGTTTCTAGTAGCAGTCAGACTTCTTTTTCCACCACCCCCCACCACATCTCCTCCTCGCTCCCATCCTTGCAATTTTGTCGACCTGATCAGTTCCTCTTTCACTACTCTATCCATGGTCAATCTACAATCCTACCGCCATGCCCATCAATTCGTTCTGTTGAAAACTTGACAGCCTTGTCAGTCTCCGACCGCCCGTTCGTCGGGGCAGAGTACTTCCAGTGTGCATTTTGTCCCACTTTCCTTATCACCACATTGCGATCTGAAGCTCTCCACGCTCTTTTCTCCCGGTGAATGGTCAAGTCCCGATTCAGCCTTGCTTGACCTCATCGTCATTATTCTGCAGTTTTCGACATAGAAGAGAAAGAAATCGAGTTGGGAAAGAGTCGAAACGAAATCAGCCGAATTAGATCACGATCGCCTCTTCTGCACCCGCCCGTACCAACCCATCATGGACCAGGACAACTCGATGGCATGGCCGGGGTCCCTTCAGGAACAATCGCTCATGGCGGCCTCTGGCGAAGATGAATTCACTAATTTTCTGGAGTTTGGAATGCATTTTCCCGATCTGGAGGGGCACGGACCAGGCGAGCGACAGCTACAACCTCCTCGTTCTCTTCCCGCCTCGGTGTCGATGATGCCTACGACCACTGCTGAGCAGGAGCAACTGGTCCGCATGGAGACCGACTCCCTTCCCAGCGCTCACTCGTCTTCATCCTACAACAATCGCATCATGGGCGATTTCTCGTTCGATCTTTCCAGCCACAACCAGCCATCTCAACCTCAGGGTCAAATTCCCTCGTCCTACGCCAGCGCTCCTGTAACCCCAGCCTTCTACAACCAGGAACTTGCACAACCTCAGATGTTCCATCACCCTCAACAACCTCCGCAGAAGCAGCTGCAGCAACAACCCCATCGTGGACTGCCTACCACCTCGCAACCCTACATTCCCCATGGCCAAGCGATCATTCCCCCTACTCCGAATAGTATTGAGCTTCAGGGTAATGCAGCACGATATCCGGCCCAGGTGGATGAGAACCACGAATTGTACGACCGATACCCTCGCATGAACGAAGAGCAGGTGAGACTAAACCCACCCGGCGCGTCCTGCGCTCATTTTGATAGGAGCGCACAGGCTAATGCATGCACCCGCATTGACACAGGCACTCTACACTCCTCTCGTCTCTCCCGCCATGACACCGTTAGAAACTCAATTTCGACTGCCCGAGTACACAATTCCCGGGGAGTATTTTACCCCCCTCACCTCTCCAGCTCTTGAGGCCCAGAACTCCAACGGGAATGGCTACCCGTTCCAATCGGTATCCGAGGTCGGTTTTCTGCACTCTCCTGCCGACGCTATCCCCGGTTCTTCTGCTCCTTCCTCCCCTGGCTTGATGAGGAAACATCGTCGCCGGCCATCGACCACTAAATCATTTTCCTCACGCGCCAAGAAGCAACAATCGCCATCTGTACGCCCACAGACACGAAAGAAGTCAATGCTGAATCTCAACTCCGACGAAGTTCTCAATGGCCTCAGCCAGGATCAAGGAGTCTCCAAAATACTGCCTCACGGTGTGAGTGGGCTTCGTCAGAGCAGCAATGAGAGCTCCGACCAAGATTCTGTATCGCCAGAACCCCTTTCGGAACCACTGATGCCGCCCCCTGCCCTGCCCCCTGCGCGAAAGTCCCCCGCCATAGCGCCGCAGGCCGATCAGTCGCAAACGAGCGCTCCGGCAACCCCTGCAATGTTGATGCGTCTTCAACGGCCGCAGCCAGCGGAGAATCCAACAGGTCAATTCAATGGCCAAGCAAGGCTCGTATCCACGGAATCTTACGACGACGTCATGGAGGATGTTATGCTCCCGGAAGCTGCCACCCCGTCATCTCAACTCTCTCGACCTCAGGTTGCACGCATTGATACCGCCATGAAGTCAGGCTCGGCTACACCGGTTACATCAGCGAGTATCACACCGTCGTTGGAGCCAAAATCAGCGCCAGTTATCGATCGGAATCCTGGTTCCATTGCGCCTAGCCCACGCACGATGGCCGTGCCCTCTCCTAGCGGACCGATCGCGAAGAAGTCGGAAACGCCTAAGCTTGGTCCGATGGGGAGGAAACGGCAGAGCCTGAGCTCGACGCACGCCAGTCCTAATTTGCGACCCAAGATCAGTCCCAGCATTCAGCCCTTGGTGCGCGGCGAAGGTAAGCAATGTCATCTGCCTCGCTCTTGTCTCGTTGATCGGCACTGACCAGGATCACGTATCCTTGCAGGCATTTCAAGCGAAACCTCGGCTCTATACTTGGCATCCAAATCTAACTATCAGCATATTCTGGACGGAACGCTACTACCTGGCGTCTCATATCCCGAAACCTTGGCTGAGAATCTCAGCTCAAAGAGAACGAATCACAAGCTCGCAGAACAGGGCCGCAGAAACCGAATCAACAACGCCCTCAAGGAAATCGAGTCTCTGATCCCATCAGCGTTCATTCAGATGAAGCACGCCAAAGAGAATGTGGCCAGTCATGCCAAGGGTGACAAAGAAAAAGAGAAAGAAAAAGCCGGGGCACAAACAATCAGCAAAGCTAGTACCGTGGAACTGGCTATTGACTATATCAAGGCCTTGAAACAGGAATTGGAAGAAACGAAAGGAAAGCTGGTCGCTGCTGAGGCTCGAATGGGAGAGAATGGAGCCGCGAAGGATAAAGGCGGCAAAGCGGCCACGATATCTTCACCAGAAGACGGGAACACGAAGAGCTCGAATGGCACACAAGGCTCTAGTGTGGCAGAGGCCGCTGTTACTAGCACGGAAGCTACTGGCTCAACATAGTCATGCATGAGACTTGATCGCCGAAGAAAACATTTACAGTCTCCCTACCAGCGGTTGGGAGCATGATCACGCGGTATGGGTTACGAAGCAAATCTGTTAGCAACACAATGGCCTTAGACATGCCAGGAGGGAACGAAATATTTAGTTGACCAAGTACGACCACCTGTATAGTGACAATACCTGGAGTTTAACATCCGTCGACCACGGATGGGCGTTATCTTTTGTCATCTGGTGTGGCATTTGTCTGTGTATGTTTGTCGTGTGTGGTTTGTTTGCTATTCTTCATAGGCGCGTTTAGATGCGCTACCTCTCTTTGCGCTGACTTTTGGTCGGCCAGGCCATTCTACCATTTTACCACTGTAGATCTAGTTTGTCCGCTTTGCTTCCTTTCATGTATCTAGACTTGTGTTCTCTTCTGTATTGGTACTTCAATCGAGGTAGGTAATCAAACAAACAGTTAAAAGCCATCGGAGTATATATCATTTGAAGGGAATGTATGCGCGGTGGTGTGGTAACACCAGGTTTCCGTACGTAGTTAAGTGTTCTGATTCCACTCTCCATCCCGCCCATACCCTCAGCGGGACAGGCGACTCTACAATGGATTTGAACGTAGAATGATTCTATTCGCTATGCAATTGACATGTTCTGCAAATGACTTTTCTCTTCATTCATGTCTCGTGGGAATCATTTAACCCAGCTCAATAGTCTCTCATCACAGCAACCATCTCATCCAGGCGCGCCACCTCGCCTAATAACAACGCCTCTTTGGCCCTCCACTGTTCTAGAAGCACCAATTCCGGTTCAGATAGATAACGCTGCTCGTTGCCCTTGACATCACTCCGCTCCGTCTTCTCCAAGAACTCCTTTAGCCGGCTACGCTCAAACCTCAAACGCTGCAGACACCGTGACATGGCCTTGTACGTGTCCTGCAGCACACTGTTGCAGATGCGGTCAGGGTCGTAGTACCAGAGGTAGATTGTGCGTGATGGCTGGCGCTGAGCGTCCCGTGGCACTTCTTGCAGGTCCACGAATCCGCCTGCTTGCATGCTCGCAAGGACCTGCCGCAGGTCCTTGAAGGGGAGCAGACTGATTTCTTGGAGTCGCTTCTCGTCTAGCTTGCCCTTGGCATGGAGAACTCGGACCACCCGCAACGCAACGTCGCCGTACCGAGCCTCGATCATCCTCTCCAGTTCGAGGTGCCGGAGCTTTCGCGCCAGATGACGGAACTCTACTGTCCACGTGACGAGGCCCGAAACCATGCGTTTGGATGTGAGGTTGTGGGGTGGCTGCGCCAAAAGAGAAAGGTGTTGGTCGATCTCAAAAGTACGATTACCGCCAGAAGACAGTCCATTCGCCCCTTCGTGATTTGTTCCATCAACATCACTTTCCAAGGGCCGTTTCCCACGCCTGACATCTGGCTGAGAGGTATCCATGGGACCCGTAGAACTAGAAAGGTCAAGCCCTGGGTCGACGTCTTCGGCTAATGCACTGAGTGCTATCGGCACAGAGTACTGCTCTCCCTCTTCTCCCTCTCGAGGTATCTCGGCAGTGTCTCGGCACTGATGGGTCTGGTACTCAATGCGTCGAAGTAGGCATTCATATACTTCAGCTGTTGCTGGCGACACGCCCTGCTCAGCTAATTCTATAAAGCGGCGATTTCGCAGTGCGACGTCGAGCTTGTTATAATTGACTCGGACAACCAACCCAGACTGAGTGTCACAGCTTCGTTAACTCTCACGGTCACATACGATGTCATGTCATTCGAAGCACTCACCTCCATTGGAGTGGTATCGTAGCCCATTTCTTCATCCGACCATTCGTTCTCCTCTTCCTCATCCTGCTCATCATTTTCATCGACGCTGGCAAGATCGATTCGGGATTTTTTGTTGGGCTCGTCAGCCCTCCGAGAACTGTATTTGCGCTTGGCGCCTCTGGGAGCCCCATGGACTATCAGACCGCGGGTCAGGTCCCCGTCCGTTCTCTCCTTGAGCAATCCGAGTGTTCCTTCTATGACTGCCTCCTCTAGCCTCTTGCCCTTCAATGCTTTGATCTCTGGTTTAGATCTTATGACTCGCTCTGCGTCGAGGATGTTGTCCGCATGGCTCTGGAATTGTGCCTCCCTAACACGGATGATATAACCATGGGCAGCTAGGACTTTCAATGTCGGGTGAAGAAGCTCAGGCTGTTCACTGGTATGTTCTCCATTGAGTCCATTCGACTGTTCTTCATCTTCCTCGAATCCGGCATGCTCCTTAGAAACGCCATTGGCTCTGACCGCCTCGCATGTCAATTCCGGCAAAGTCTCCAGGTAGCTCACTTGGGCATGTCCGAGATACATGATGGTTGACAGGATGGTCGCCGCATACTTGCCCAGTCGTTCCTCCACAAGTTCCAGAATTTTTCCAGAACGGACAAGATAGTATGCAGACTGCATATTGGCTTCATAATACGTAACGCCATCATCGTAGGATGTGTAATGGTAGACAAGGTGCTGCTGAATCATAGCAGCGAGTGCGGGGAGAAGCTGGCGATTTGGAAGTTCGGAGTAAGCCTTGAGGCGAGGCAGATTGAGGCGATCATAGCGCGAAAGTGTTGCGAAGATTCGCTGATTTGAGAAGAAAAGGGATCAGCTCATCAGGTCATTTAAACGTAAATCCAACCACTCCCCGCCCAAGTACTTCAGTTATAATCTCAAGCCAACATGTCATGGGGCGTAAACGTACCCCAAACAGCTCTCCGAAGTTCTCTTCTACGAGAAGCTCGCATAGCTCCGCAGCATACTGTATCATGCCCAAATTAGCAGCTGACGCGAATTAAGTGATCGAGCTCAGTTGTCTGTCGCATACTTGTGAGGTCATTTTTCAAGCTTCCTAGTGAAGCTGGCAATTCAAGTTCTCAGGAGGAATAAATCGACATGGCCAGATAAATAACATGAAAGAATTATAAGATGTAATAAAGAGTTCAGATCTGAAATAAGAACCTGCTTGAAGAGCTCATGGGTCTTTATTGAATCATCTGCATCCTGCTGCTACTTTTCTCTTATCGCATGCCTTAAAAAAATCACGTGTATTGATATCACCTGACCTCACCTGACACGGAGGGCGAGGGAAAAGCCGGTTCCGCCCGCACTCGTCATTTCGGCCAATCAGCAAACGAGTAATCAAGACGCCGGCATCTTGAAGCTTTTCAGACATCGTTTCCAACCCGTCCATCGACAGACAGCCAGCCTTCTTGTGCTCTTTCCCCCCTCTCGACCTCACCAATTGCTTGTTAAGCCTTCCGGCTTCCTACGTCTCCTCTCCTCCTCGTTCGATAATCCGCACATGCGATAATGCTGTCGCGGTCTACCCTCAGCCGAAATGCGCCCCGTGCGCTCTCTGCTGCCAGCGCCAGCAGTCGTCGCAGCATGGCCTCTGCTGCGACTCCCGGCCTTCAATACGATGTCTCCGAGTCTGCCGGTGTGAAGGTCGCCAACAGAGAGGTCGCAGGCCCAACCGGCACCCTGGCGTTGGTTGCAAAGGCCGGCTCCCGTTACCAGCCCTTCCCTGGCTTCTCCGACGCCCTCGAATTCTTCGCCTTCAAGGTTGGTTTTATAGCTCGTTTGCAATCCTTGCAGCATATGAGTGTGAATTGATGTGATCTCTGACGGTTTCTGCTTTCAATGGACAGTCTACACTCAAACGGTCGGCGTTGCGGATCACTCGGGAGGTTGAACTGCTGGGCGGTGAAGTTTCCTCGACACATTCGCGTGAGAACGTCGTCCTCAAGGCCAAGTTCCTCTCAAAAGACCTTCCTTACTTTGCCGAGCTTTTGGCGGAGGTTGCTTCCCAGACAAAGTTTGCAGGTATGTTGACGGCAGTCGTCAGTCATTACCTCTAATGGGATATTGGCTGACTCGAAACCTCAGGCCACGAGTTGAACGAGCTCGTCCTCAGCCTCATCAAGTACAGACAGCAAGCCCTTGCCGCCGATGCTGAGAACATCGCCGTTGACGCTGCCCACGCTCTTGCCTTCCACCGCGGTCTGGGTGAGAACATTACTCCCTCCGCCAGTGGCCCTTTCGAAAAGTACCTCTCCGCCGAGGCCATCGCCGCGTTTGCCAATGACGCCTATGCTAAATCTAACATCGCCATCGTTGGCAGTGGCTCCACCTCCGCTGAGGTGTCCAAGTGGGTTGGTGAGTTTTTCACCGAGCTCCCCAGCGCTGGCGGCTCTAGCCAGTTCAAAGTGCAGCCCAACACTGCCTCCAAGTACTACGGTGGCGAACAGCGCATCTCTTCCAAGGCTGGCAACGCCGTTGTGATTGCCTTCCCTGGCTCTAGTACCTTTGGCACTTCGGGCTACAAGCCTGAAGCTTCCGTTCTTGCCGCCCTCCTCGGCGGTGAGTCTTCCATCAAGTGGACTCCTGGCTTCTCTCTCCTCGCCAAGGCCACCCAGGGCTTCTCCCAGGTCCGTGTCGCGACCAAGAACAACGCCTACTCCGACGCCGGTCTCTTCACCATTACGGTCTCTGGGAAGGCCGACCAGGTTGCTGCCGCCAGCAAGAACGTGGTTGACGTTCTTAAGAAGACGGCTGCCGGTGAGATTGCCGGCGACGAGATCAAGAAGGCCGTTGCATTGGCCAAGTTCCGTGCTCTCGAGTCTGCTCAGACGCTCGAGACCGGCCTTGAGGCCACCGGTGCTGCCCTGATCAACGGCAGCAAGCCCTACCAGATTGGTGAGATTGCTCAGGGCTTCGACGGCGTCACTGAGGCGCAGATCAAGGATGTAAGTCTTTTCTCTTTTCCTACTCTCGGCATGCTTTGCATCAAAGTCACCTGGCTAACTCACCTTCCTTCTCCAGGCCGCCAAGTCTTTCCTCTCTGGCAAGGCTTCCGTTGCCGCTGTTGGAGACCTCTTCCAGCTTCCTTACGGCGCGGACCTCGGTCTGACCGTTTAAAGTGTAAACATTACATGTTAGACTGACTTGGAAAAAGCGTCCTTTCCCATTCTTATGTGTCTAGATCAATCTTCGCAGATATTCTCCTTTGTGATGTGGCTGTAGTTGTGTGACTGTAATACAATTGTATCTTATGCCATTCGGTGCCTTCCGAGTATTATAGGCCGTCTTACGCCCGATATTTCTCCTTTGAACCCTGTTTTGGGGCTGCAGAAAGTGCGCAGTATCCTTTCAAATCTCTAAACATGTATTGTGACACTTCGATCAGCGGCAGTGTGATTGACAAAGCATGGCTTTGCTGCAGGCGCGAAGTCTGGCGATTCGGTTATACATCACTACCCTACAGATAGATGAACGCTATTTCATTGCGAGCACCTAGCTCTCGTTGATGCTATACAGATATCGTCTCATCGTAGATTGTCATAGCCATAGATTTTAGAAACCTTGTTGCCGAATCTGGAAATCAATAGTCGGAAATAGTCCTTCAGGGTGAGCTTACCTGTTTCTTGGACTTTCGTCTGAAGTATATCCTAAAAGGAACCCAAGACAACTTGCTGGGAAATGAACGCCCCATAGGTTGTATGTGCTTTGGGGCAAGCAAACAGGATACTGCTCACTATCTGTCAGACAGGTTATCCCTTTTAAGATAACCTCGTACAGATTCATTTGCATGTGATATTCATGTTCTAGGCTGATTGTCATAATTAAAGACGCCGCTATACAAAGGTGTCTCCATTAGAACATTTAATAATGATTACCGCAACTGCACAACTGCCAGAACTGATATATCTTTCGCCTTTGATAAAGCCTCACTATCTATTTCGTCAAACAGCACCCAGCTTCCAAACTAGAGTTCGACCAAGACAAGGATAGCAGGGGATATGAGCTCGGAGGTATTTGGAGTCTTGCTTCCGACCATGGTAGCAAATTTAAGCCAATATTATAGATTTTTTGATAAGTCTAATGAGGACCGGCCTGAGTCTATAGCGGCCAAGCAGTTACTATTTACATCAGTTATGACGAATGACTTGAACATAGCTCCAGAACAAGCGGTGGACCGGGTGTGCACGGAGGCTAAACAGCTATAGCTGTTAGCTCCTCCGATCAACTCCGTGCAGAGCCAATAAAATATGAGATCCGACAATATATTCTTCCGCCCTCTGATTCAGACCGTGCATACTGCATAGTAGAAGGGTATTTCAAACCTTCTCTAGTGCTTAGCGGTGACTTTGTCGCCTGTCAGTTTTTCGACTGCTTCCTTGGCCCTGTTTCGGTGCAACGGAGACCCGCACGTTAGCCCGGTATCGCTCCTCGGCATCACATGAAGATCGCAATGAAAGCTTAGGAAGCGTATCCAAGAAAGGAAAGACAGCAACAGAAGGGATGGGAAGTAGAAACACCTGGGGTCAACTTACATATCACCAAGAGCAACCATGCAGACGGTCTGCCAGATCCCAAGACCAATACGAGGAGTAACACCGCGATAGAGACCTTTAATACCGTTCGTCTCGTAAATGTATTTGAAGGTCTTGCCAACAGTCAGGTTCTTGGGCCGGTTGGGGTCTTCCTTCTTGCTTTGCATCTCGACCCGGATAACTTCAATGGGCTGATTCCATGCGGAGAGGCCACCTCCCAGACCAGAGGCAATGACCTTTTCGATGGCGCTCAGTTTTTGATTCTCGTCCTTGTTAGTCACCTTACGGATAGCGGTCTCCGCTAGACGGGAGAGACCAAAGCGAGAACCCCAGTTCGTGGTTTGGCGGATAGCCACCGCGTTCACACCGCGGTTGATACCACGAATACCTTCCTTACGGTAGATATCCATGAAGGTAGCAAACGTACTCGGTGGCTTGACACCCTGAGCAGCCATCTTATGCTTGGTGATCTCGACCGTCTTCATGCAGGTACAGAAACCCATGGTCGCATATGCTTGCGCAACACCACCCGTCATACCTCCAGCAATACCTGCCAGGAAGTCGGGGGCACCAAGCACCTTCGCGCGGAATTCCGCCTCGGACGCGACGAACAAGAGGACAGCGCCTTTGGTGGAGGCCTCAATCCAGGCCCACGGAATGAGACCTTGATAATCTGTGGGATCATCCCGCATCAGTTGTTGTACCCCACAGCATCGGAACGCGGGCAAGAAGGTCACTTACAACCGAAGATCCCGCCACGACCCCATATCCGCGCCATAGCGCCGGCGAAGCTGTCGCCTCGGTTGGCAGCCATGGTCGTCTTGATCACTTCCAGTGGCTAAAAAGTTGTAAGCGAAAGACATCGAACCTCTGCAAATCAATGAACTATACCTGTCCCAGAGTGGTGACCCTGCGTTGCCCATTAGTCCCTCGACTCATAGTTTCCAATCAACGAAGGGGCTGATAGGAGAAACTTACTCGAACATGTTCAATCCTGCACCGACTGTATTTGCAATAAAATTAGAATCAAATCATCGACTGCAAGCTTTTGCTGGTGTCGCGTATGATCCATGATGGGGAAGAGACATACGTAGCAGATTGCTGAACTTGACAGGCTTCTTCTCGAGAGCATGGCCGCTAGAGGCCTTCTCAGCAGTAGTGGCTGACATCTCTGACCTTGGGGTAGCACTGAAAGGGGCCCTGACCAAGGGATGTAGGGGCTTCGTCGCCTAAGGGATCACGAGAATATAAGAGCTGTTCGCGAGCGAAACAGGACAGTCAAAGGCGAGCAGAACAAGGAAGCTCTCGTCGAATAAGGTTGACGATAGAGACGGGGTGGTAATGAATTGAGCCGGCGGGCAACACAAAACTTAAATTGACAAGACAACAGAGGAATGGTCGAAGAAAGGAGGTTGGGGGGGGGGAAGCAGAGGGAAGTTATAAGCAGCAGGGGAAGGGGGAAACAAAGTCCGCCTGGGAAACAAAGTCCGCCTCTTGCTTTTGA